TTCAAAAAACCAGCATGGTGTTCTTGTAAAATACATCTACTAATGCTTTTTCCCTTCTGATTTTATTCAAAGAAACCCTCGCAAAAAACTCAACAATCGTTTCCTTCATTGCATCCCATTGGACTAATTTCCGTAAGCATTGGATTCCAAAGCTTCAAGCCCACATTTCTGTTGCATCTTTTGGTAAAGTTTACAAGAATACCAATTGGGATATTGCGCAGCTTTAGAAGAAAGTACCTCACAACATTACGAAGATTTTAGAGCAAAGAATTGTATTATCGCAAAATACCCATTTTATCTAGCTATTGAGAATACAAAAGAACAAGATTATTCTACCGAAAAACTTTGGGATGCGTTTAAGTTAGGAGTAGTACCTATTATTTACCTAATAGTCGCACTTACATACCGCACCCTAAATCGGGGTCAGTTAAAGCGGAGCGAATCCAATATATATGATCTACATACTGCACAAATTGCACTCTTGATATCAATATAACCAACTAACCCTAAATGCATCGAAAAGGTAACTCTAAACCTCACTCCGCTTTAACCGATCCACTAAATCGGTAATTTTTATTGAAGATTATCCAAACGTTGAAGACCTTGCAAATCATTTAAAATATTTAGTTGAAAACAAGACAGCTTATTTAGAATATTATCAGTGGCGAACCACAAAGACATGGTCAGAGGAATTTAAAAAGAAGGCATATATAAACTTGCATAATATGAAATGTAATATTTGTAAGGAAGTTTCTAGACTAAGGATTATAGAAGGAAGGGTTTAATTGATCCAAAATAAAGGTAAATATCTCAAAGCATTATAGTAAGTGTCGTGGATTTGAAAAATAAACGGGTTAATAGAGAATACCGTGCTGGATTAGAAAGAGCAGATGCAGTTTGCAAAAACGACACATTAACTTTTTGAATCTTGAATCGAATAATCATTGATTTGAGGAAGGAAAAGCATTAGCAGATGCACTTTGTAAGAATATCACGCTGGTTTCTTTGAATAAAATCAGAAGGGAAAAAGCATTAGTAGATGTATTTTACAAGAACACCATGCTGGTTTTTTGAA